TACATCGGTCTACCTCTGTGCCAAATTTGGTACCTTTATCAAAAAGTGCACAATAGGTTAGCTAATCCGCTGTACTATTAGGACTAAATATGCAGGTACACAGAAAAAAATCGGACTATTGATAACAATTACATCGTGTGCTTGACCCCTATTTAGTTAAAAAAAGTACGTACCAAGTTGGCATTATTAAATTTCAATTCGATTAACTTTATTGAGCTTTAATGAAGAAAGTTGATGTAATTGATTTTCCCTCACTAAAAACTTGACTGATTTGAAACTTGGATGAAGAATATCATATTTGCCTCAAGTAGATTTTATTAAGTTGCTTCAGACAAACTTTGCAAAAATTGATTCAAATATGTCATTATATGTACAGTTTTTGTAAGCAAAATTTGGAATATATGTGGTTTAACTCGAGCCCTCCATGAACTTAGGGCCGAATTTATAGTCGTTCTTTGAGTCTTCCTTGGAGGTCGTGAGTTTAGAATGGACACTTGCTACTATTTGACAAGTTAGTCATGTCAATTCTAAACGTTCAAGGCTCCCTTAAGGTCTGAGGAAACCTCAAGGAGCGACTATAAATTCGGCCCTTAATATAACATTATTTATCTTATTTCAAATACTGAACTAGTTGATTCAATGAAATATCAATATCGCTATGGGTCAATAAAATTTCTCCTATTTATCAACATTAACTTGCAGTTGTCTATAGTCTGCACAGGTATGCACACTCTACAAGACGCGACGAGTTTGTCCTTAAAAATCGTTTAGGTTTCAGGTCTTTCCATTCACTTTCCAAGTCCAACGACTCGCGATTCCGGATTCTGAGAAATCTGAGCTTTGATTTGGATTGATTGGTATTATAATAATATTGGGATGTGCGAAGCGCCCGAGTGCCGGAAATTCCTTCCCGAAGCGGAGTCAAAAAATCGTTCGAGTTCACCAAAAACATTTCGCGCACGAGTTGCAAACAACGTTTTGTCTACAGAGAGAATTGAAATAATTTTGGGTAATATCAAAATAAAATAATTCAAGGAAATTCCATTTCAGAACAGCCTGTTAAATGGTTGCTATACGGAAAAAAAAATTAGGTACCAAATAATGACACACTGCTTGTCAAAGTTTTTTCCAAGGTCTGACCGACGTGGCATCATTTCGGCAAAAAATGTTGATTAGAAATAGAAATTGCAGAACAACTTGTAGTTCCCAATATAATAATACAGCTAGTTCTGCAATAGACCTTTCTCATTTTACCTGTGCTGCGCGCGCATCTTGTGGGTGACAGATAATTAAATCGTCAATTTACTGAACACTGTCTGACCCTGACGTATTTAAGCTAACCTCAATAATCAATCAGTATCAACCAATATTGCTGAAAATTATTACAAAAACTCACTTTGCGGGTTCGTAAAATAACGATTTTTAAATCAAATACAATAATAATGTACAATTAAAGGTTTGCTGCAAACATTTTTGCTGCGGTGGGTTTTCTTTCTAATTAATGTTAATACGTATTTTGTCATATTTACGTTTAAAAATAAACAAAAACAGAAACATAACCGAAATTGGACAATTTGACAAGTGGAACCAATCAAAGTCATTCCACACAGGTATCGTGTGTCATTATATGTGTCTTTTTCTTTATTGCAGAAATCTTAATAGAATATCCTTGTTGTTCATTGCATGAGAAAGGTCCATTGCAGCAAACCTTTTGCCCGAAAAATCAAAAAATGATGATGTTCGCATAAAACCGTCAAAAAAGTGAGTGAAACCGTAATTCTAATGTACTTCCAGGGTGAATCGGAAGAGTTCAATATCTCTTATTCAATTCGAGTGGGTAGGTACCCCAGAAAATATTTGTTTTTTTTATATTTACACTTTGTCGTTAAATTTTCTTCCATTTATGTATTTTTAAAATATCACCACTGAGCGTGCACGAAGTATTTCGTGCCCTAGTGCGCGAAATATTTCGTGCACGTCGTTAAGGTAAATAAAACCAATGTGACATTTTTCGAACGGAAATGAGTGTGAAAATGTCATCAATTTTTGACGTCTGTAGAAAAAGGTATTTATAAAAAGGTAAAGGTACAGGTATAGAGGTATCAACAATACAAACAATTCCATATCACAATGATTATTTCAAACTCTTCCTGCACTGAGTGCGGGAAGAAATCTCTTCCCGCACAGCAAATCGTGCGGGAAGAGCCATTTCCCGCACGCTCGTAAAAAAAAATATCATAATAACAATTAGTGGCATTTAAAATTGTTCATTATCGTTATCATACCACAAAACATTATTTTCAATGGTAAAATTGTTTACATTCGAAAGAAAATTTGGGAAAATTTTCCTAGCGCAAAAAGAACAGTGGAAACTTGTTGATATTTTTTGGAGACATATACCGGGTGACAATGAAACTACTACCCACGGCGGCATTTCTTAACGGCTCGAGATAGAAATATGCAATTCCGTATGTTGATAGAGTTGAAAATTTTGAACAATTTTAATGTAGAAACAACTGAATGGCTTTTCCAGTTTCACCGGAAATGGCATTGACTTTGTTATTCTAAATGGGACACCCTGTATATTATCTTTTTTTTGGACTCTCTGAACAATTCTAAATAACTTTTGTCTAACATACCCTATGTCAAAAATTGATAGTTTTTCAAATAGAGTGGCTCAAAAATCTGTTGGTTTTAGATGAGCACCAACAACGTGAAAATGGGTTATCAAATTTTCAATTTTGCAAGTGTCTATGAAGGTTGAATTTGTCATATTTGGATAAAGGATAAAAAAGTAGGATTGGGTAGTGGAAGTTTCATTTCCATAAGTTGAACCATTTTCGTACAGGGTTCGATCAAAAACTGAAACATTAATTTTCGAAAAACGCGTTCTTCTCAACTTGCATTAATTCTTCTTTTTGATTATTTATCGGATACCTCTTTGAATAAGAAGCAAATAAACATGATTGTTTTTGTTCTGGCCTACTTAGTTTTTACGTAAGATACAAACAAATAGCAATTACGACATATTTTTGAGCGGCTCTATTTCAAAAACTATCAATTTTTGACATGGGGTATGTTAGACAAAAGTTATTTAGAATTGTTCAAAGAGTCCAAAAAAAATATAATATACAGGGTGTCCCATTTGAAATAACAAAGCCAAGGCCATTACCGGTGAAACCGGAAAAGACATTCAATTGTTTTTATATATTTTTTTTTTTTTTTTTTACGGATATGCGCACTCGCAAGGAAATGTCCTATCACGCTCGAGAAGCGGCAAGTGCGCGTAAAGTTGTTCACAATTTTCAACCCTATCAACAAACCGAGTTGCATATTTCTATCTCGAGCCGTTAAGAAATGCTGCCATGGGTAGTAGTTTCATTGTCACCCGGTATATGAAGCATGTATCAAAATATGAATCTTGAACTAGGAGTACTTATAGAAAATTTTAAAAATACTACTGCATCCAGAATAATCTTGTAATAAACTAACGTCGGAGACCAACGTATATTGAATGATGATATTTTTAGGATGCATTAAAACCAGAATTTAAGGTTAAAATAAGGAATAAACAAGGTGGTACTAGGTTTACACCAGAGAACGTTAAAGGGTTTACCTATGAGCGTGCGGTAAAGTGCACTTTACCGCACGTATTTGCAAATGGAAAGTATCACTTTACCGCGCACTATGCGGTAAAGTGCACTTTACCGCATAGTGTGCGGTCAAGTTAACTTTACAGCATAGTATGCGGTAAAGTAGAATACAAAGTGTGCCGTAAAGTGCACTTTACCGCATAGTGTGCAGTAAAGTAGAATTTGATATTTATAATAAAAAATCCTCTCTCTTTCAGAAAATGGATTTTTGATCATTTCTAAATCTTATCTAATTTCATTAATTAATCTGATTCATTAATTAATTTCATCAATGCCTTTTTTTGGAGATGTAGATGCTCATAGGTAAAATTTTGTACCTAACACATGCGGAAAGTGCCTTTACCGCACTTAACGGCTTGACCGAACTCCGCTTCGCGTCGTTCGGTCAACTGCCGTTGCGTGCGGTAAAGTATCACTTTCCGCATTTGTTAGGTAAATAACTATTTAAGGGATTTTGTTCCGGGTCAAACTTAGATGTACTGGAGTATGAGTAATCGGAGTCTCAAAAATAATTCAAATTTTAAGATCCCATAAGTTGGAGTTTGTACTCGTGTTCTTACCAACCTCGTTGGAAGTTATTGCGTACCATTGGAGTAGTTGCATACAAACCACGTTGAAGGTTATTGGTCGTCTTTCAAGCAATAGGTGGGTACTAAAGGAGGTTAGGAGTATTGCAGTCTCCCTTTCTTGTGGATTATATCGACCAATTTATGTGGTCTCAAATTTATGAAATACCTGCCAAAGGCAACGATAATACACAATAATATATCTGCAAATGAGGCTTGTTCCGGCGTAGGTACCTTAAGGCCGACACTTAGCTCCCCTATTCTTCACTTCATTTAACGATCTTCGCTGCTGCATAAAAACTTCCTATTTGGACAGTGGAATCCCCACAGAAACAATAATAGGTACATCTTATAGCAGCCACAGAGAAAGGAAAATTCTACTTAATGCAGTTAAAATCTAAATAATAAGCACATTATTAAATAGTGCTAGATAAATTATTAATTTAAACCAATATCCAATGGGTGGTCATTGGCTATCTTGTTGCATGAAATGCATACAAGCATTGCTTATTTAAAGGTCGCATTGGTCACATTTTGTCATGTTTATTAATCCAAACAAAACGTAATCAATTCAAATTCTTGAAAAATGAAGGTCGCTTTTTCAAGCTAAGTGAACCAAATAGCAATTAAATTATGTAATACGACAATATTTCTGCTTTTTTAAGGAAACATTTAAAAATACACTTTAAATAAATTATGATTCTTTTGCGGTTAGCCTGGTAATAAAAAAACGTGACTATTATATTAATAATAGAAATATAATTTGTATAATTTTTTTTAGCTACCATACCACTTCTGGCCGCAGGACTAGGAATGTCATGGCCATCACCGGTAATACCAAAACTTTTAAGTGAAGAAAGCCCTTTTGGTCGACCCATTACCACTACTGAAGAAGCTTGGATAGCTGCGTTCACTCCCTTGGGCTCTGCTATAGGGCCTTTAGCTGCAGGATACTATGCTGATAAGTTTGGAAGAAAAAAAGCCCTTATAGCTTCCGCTGTACCAATGATTATAGGGTTTCTGATTACTGCTTTTGCTAAGCAAGTTGAATTGTATTATGTTGCAAGGTAGGTGGTATTTTTTTGAACTGCCTTTTTGATAATACAGGGTCTGCCAATGGAAATTTGCCACCCCGATTTTTGGATTTGAAATGAGAATCTGGAAAAACGCTCGGACACTTCGATTTTTGATTTGAGGGGGAAATATTTTTCAGGATTTTTCATCTCCGTAGCTTCAACCCCCTAGCTGGGGGGGAAACAACCCCCAAATTTGAATAAGGGATAAGGGTCATGTCATACCTATTTTTGAAGGTACACGGAAAAAACACTCCACTATATTTAAGAATAGTAGCGTTTGCCCAAGAAAATATTCGTTTCACTATTCCACAAGAAAATATAATATTTAATTCTAGTATTGCCCTATTCTCAAGAATTGAAAATAAGTTCAACTTATATCCAGAATACGATAGTGTCGAATTCGAGAATAGCCTAGTAATTGTTTCAAAAATAAGGTAGATTTGTTAATCAAGTATTGTTATTCTTATTCGAAAAATTACTTATAGTTATCACAAAAACTACAATTTATTTCCAAATATTTCTTATTCTTACTTCAAAAATAACCTCTTATTGTTTCAACTACTCGTGTACTTACCATTAATATTGAAACACAGTTTACTCTGAAGTATATTTTATTCTTCAAATTCTTGTTTTAAAAATTTATATAATATATATTTATATAATAAGGTATAAACAGATGGAATAATAACAAAAATTTAATTGTGATAAGTACAATAACAATCATAGATAGGTACATTTATTTATTAATTATTCACATACCACTGCAAGGTTGGGAAAATCCGTTATAGTGCTGCATTTTCTTCACTTTTAACGCGATTTTTGTACCGATTCATTTTCTTGGCCAATTTTAATCTAACCTCCATTTTGGGAATTCGCTCTTTACTTTGTTCATCATTTATGTTCAACCATTGTCCAAGTCAATTTCATTTCCTAAAATTAAAAATAATGTTTTTATAGACACTTTGTCAACAACTTATCCTAAAGCAAAAGGCAAATAGATTGGATAAGGTACTTCTACATGATGAAAGATAACACGCGGATTAAGTTTTTACCTAAATGATGGCCACCCACGCCAACAATGCCTAATAATTTTTTGATTGTTTTTTCCCGGAAATTGAGCAGGAAAAGTGAAACTTACCTTCAAATATTGGAATTAAACCAAACTTCAACTTCACGTTCAATGGAATGAATGGGAGAGAACGCAACACGAAGCAAAGCACAAAGGCGACTAGAAGGCAGGTTGAAACAAACATGCATGTCATTTAAGAATAATATACTCTCTTCAAACTATAGGTATTTCAAACGAGAAATTATTTCAACATTACATTAAGAACAAACCTATATTTGATAAAATATATTTTTTATTCTTGATTTAAATGAAAAATAATTGAGATGAATATTTAAAGAGTTTCAAAATAGCATTAAGCAAATATTTCAATGTATAATAAAGTATTGTTTTACTAAGTAAATTATTACTGGATCAAATATAAAATTATAAGTAGGTATATTACTACTCTTGGATATAGAATTGCATTTTTTCCGTGTATCATCGAGTTCTTTATGACCCTAGAATTTCGTCTCATAATTTTTATCCGTAACAAAATGACACTTACCTAAATCTTCAAATTCAAATTTGGGGCGTCGTTCTTCCCACAGCTAGGTGCTTAAAGCTAGGGAGATGAGAAAAACTGGAAAATAGTTCCCTCTCAAATCAAAAATGGACGTGTCTGAGCGTTTTTCCAGATTTCCATTGCAAATCCAAATAATCGGGGTGGAAAGTTTCCATTGACCCACTCTGTAGGTATATTGCTAGAGATGATGATTTAGTAGGCATGGCATAACCAGGACGGGTTATTTTGAGTAATCGAAGAGAAGTTTGAGTATTCTTTGAAATAGGTCCTTATTCAGTTCGATACTTATCACATCGTAATATGAAATAACGATGACTAACAATACTAGCTGCAAGCGAACACTGGTTATTTTGAGTTGTCGAAGATTGCTTTACATTTTCCGATTAGTTCTGATAGTTTGGTGAGTGATGGTTATATTGTAGTGGATGGAAATATCACCCTGAATAGCACAAAAGATTCGAATTTTGCAAAGATTGCCGACGAATGTATGTATACAATATGTGACATTAAACGAAGGGGTCCTAAATGGAAGGAGGTATAAATATGTGGTCGATGTTAGAAACGTTGAAATATACAGGGTCGTTCAAATTGAAAATAATACTTGCGGAACAGGCGTCTTACTATCCCCAAAGAACCTATTCGTTCTGGCTGTCGTACGTCATGCATGGCAACTTTTTCAACAAAAAAGTTATATTTTTTATTTTATCTACAAACGTGTGGTTATGACGTTTTTACATAACCATTTTTCTAGTATTTGAGTTATGTCATGTGACTCATAACAGTCATAACACAACTAGTGGTGTTATGAACTAGGTTATGAATCTATAACACAACTAGTTTTTGTGATTTGACAAATGTCATAGTTAAACCTGTGAAGGTGAAATGAAGGTAAACAACTACTAATAAACGAAAATTCAAAAAAAAAAAAAAAAATCTATTCCCGCTTTGTAGATAAAACGTTGTACATCACACGTGCATTTAAACATGACTACAAAACTCGTGTGATTAGAACGATAATCTATCACACTCGTTATTGTAATCAGGTTCATAAACGCATTTGTAACGTAAATAACTATTATCTACAAGCGTTTGGTTATGACGTTTTTACATAGGTAACCATTTTTCTAGTATTTGAGTTATGTCATGAGACCCATAAAACAACTAGTGGTGTTATGGACTAGGTTATGAATCTATAACACAACTTGTTTTGTGATTTGACAAATGTCATAGTTAAGCCTGTAAAGGTAAAATGAGGGTAGACAACTACTAATAAACAAAAATTGAAAAAAAAAATTCTTTTTTTTTCGCTTTGTAGATAAAACGTTGTACATCACACGTGCGTTCAAACTGTTGCGCAAAAATTTACCTTTAAACTGTTTGAAAATTAAATTTGAATAAATAAACCCTAATAGGCCTAGGTACAGTAAGACACCCTTAAGGAATGCGGCCAGCGCAACAAAGTGCTCGCGACTACTCAATCAGTGTGGGAGTAGGTTCAATATTGAAAGTTAGCTTTATAGGGCGCCACTGGTTTACAAAATAAAATCCGCGGACTTAAACCAGAAAGTCCCTGATCTCCAAAATTCCTCTAAAGATGTACCCACTTGATGTACCTATCCTTTAAAAACAACTTTTCCTTAGTTTGGTTGAGGTCAGTAGGGGTTAAATAAGAGTCATATATAAAAACAACGATTATAAATCTATTTAATATGTTCTGGGGGGGTATATCCAGACTTTCAATTGCATTTCAGAGGCCAATAGAAGGTAATATCACAGTATATTAATAAATGTAATTGTCAAAATTACCTGACAGGTAATTGCAACCACTCAAAGTATAGGACACGGTTCACTGACGACTGAACAAACGAAAGGCTGCGATTTCGGCGAGACTCTATTCTAAAACCGCCGTTGTATTCTTATACCTAATACCCTACCTGATGTTTGATATTATCGAACCTCTCTATCATTAAAAAATTAATCCTGTAATGAATTGAGATAGGTATTCACACGAACCAGGAATTAACAATAAATTAAATACGGAGATTGGTGAAAATCGTGAAAAGTTTCGCCGATATCACATAACACCTCTGACTCCTGTCCTGCTTAGAGATTGGTGTTTTCTTCCTGCTGTACTGTCAATGCTGCGTTTCTGTAGAAGTTATATGAATAACTTGAGTCGTCACTCGTCATAGCTCATGTAATCCTATCGGATTTCTTCTCATAGTCCACGAGAGAAAAGGGCAATACCAGGACCCGTATTCTTGTAACCGGAGAACAGCGTTCTTAAGAGAACGATTGCTCTGTCTTTGTCAGTAATATGGAAATAACGATGTGGGCGACAAAAACAGAGCAATCGTTCACCTGAGAATGCTGTTTCCCGGTTACGAGAATACGAGCCTGGGAAAAAAAGGACCTACCTATTCGTCGGCTTTTTATATGAGCTTTTTATTAGAGCAGGTAAAACGCTGTCCTACGGAGGAGTAGGAACGGGCTATTCTGCTATGAAACTAAGAGTGAAGCCAAGTTTTGGCAGGTGTATGGCACCAAATACAGGTAAAGCATTGAAATAGGGAACTTGACAAAAAATTTAAACATGAAAATATTACTATAAATCATCAGAATACATTAATTAAAACCTATATCAGCGAAAAAAACAATTTTTTTTTGGCGCAAACGGCCACGATAAGGAATTGAAAATGCGGAAAAATTCAAATTATTTCTAGCGGGAAAAAACGCTCTGGTACTGGTCGTGACGTCATGTAGTATGATCTGTCAGTGTCTGTCAGCAACCGTCCATCATACCGTGAGTTCGTCTTGAAACACGGAGCGCTCGGAGCATTTTCCGTCTTTTTTCCTTATGATGAGAAGAACAGGGATAAAAGAACAAAACAGCAACTCCGAGCGTTTACTCGAACTCTACCTAACAAATACCCGTTAGCTGTGTTTATTTACGTTTTTCTCTGATTTTTTAAAATTTTATCATTATTAGAATTGGTTTACTTAGTTTAAATTCAATGATTAAGCTCAGTATTATATAAATGAAACGATATACCTATTAATTATGACCGAAGAAGGAAATTCCAAAGGCCAATCCGCCAATCTGTAATTTGTGATATGTTTATAGTAGCAAAAGTAAGTAAGTATGTGCGAATCTTTTTTTCCATTATAACTTAAAAATTTACAGCTCGCCGCAACCCAAAACAACAACAAAACAAATAACGGTGGAAAATGTGGAAGTCAACCAAATTAAATTAGGCAATTCAATCCATCTGTCAAAAAGGAAAATTCAATGTGGCGTGGCGGCCAAGCAAGTTTGGTTTGAATATGTTTTCATGCGTATTTTAAATTATTTTGCATACA